TAGCTGTGGCGCAAACTGGGGTGCTCCTGGAAAAAATCCTGACTACGCCCTTGCATATATCTATTTGTCTGTTTTGCTGCTACAGCTCTACATTTAGTGTTGGTTTCTAATTTGTTGACAGAAGCATTTCTAGCTGCTTTAAAATGTTTTATTGCTCAGAGGGGAAAATATAACTACAATTTTCCAGATTGTGAAGCCAACCTGGTGTAGCTGGATATTTAAACTTGAATCATGCAAGAGGCAAGTACCAAAGAAAACCTTGAATGGCATTTTTTTAATTTTGGAGATTTATGAAAGGCTTTAATAAAATCAGTAAAAAGTCATTTATTTCATGTCATTGGGTAACAACTTTTAACGGAGAAGAATTAAACATTTTATTATACAAATAGAGATAATATTGAACTCAAGACTCCTAGGTGCTATTACCTTGCATGTTAATGATCTGATCTCCTTAACTTCCAGACATTTTCTAACTCTAAATGAGCATGAATTGTAGAAACTCATCCATGTTCTGATGATATTATTAGAGTTATAACTTATAACTGTTTGTACCACTTAAAAACATTGAAACGGCTGGTTACAAAATCTTTTCTGTTATCTAAGTCCCTGTTTAGAATGTTTTTTCTAGACATTATAGATGGGCGGTTATGTTCACTTTTTGCTTACATAAACTAAATAGTTTATTTGCTATAGTTTTTTTATTGTATTTCTAAATATTATTATTAAGTCTAAGAATCTCGAACTTATATTAACCTGACTTTTTTCTTATTATCTAGCAAAATCTGAGGCTTTCGATGCCTCTGTATTACCATACATTATCTCCTTTATCGCTTTTGCTCTGCTACTCTAATTCTGGTATTTTGATTACGAAACTGGCCCATACCAGCTTTTGGAAGTACTACTCTCCTGTACTAAGTGCAATTGTCATTTTATGGGTAAGAAAACCGTTTTCTTTTAATATTCTCAATTATTTCATTAATAGCAATTAAATCATGAAATTGAATCAGTGTTAAAAAAACAGTTCATTTCACAAACACATACATTCGACGTCTAAAGAAACCCCTATAAACATTACTCGTTGCGACAAATGGACTTGACACTTTCTATACAGGGTGTCCGCGTTTTCTGTAGCAGGACTTTCAGAACTTGTACTAAAAGTCCTTTTAAAAAAAAATAATGTAAACATATATGTATAGATGCGTCGTTTTCGATTTACAAAGTGTTCAAGTTAAAAATGAGAATTGATTTTTCATTCGTAAAATGAAAACCCCTTTTTAGACTTTGTTGAAACTTGACAACTTTGTTTGTAATATTAATAATACTCATTTTCTCACATAATTTAATTTTCTATTTTCTCCAGTGGCGTCACAACAAGATACCAGCTTGATAAAAATAGAAAAAAATATGGTAGGCCACTGCTTTTTGGTAAGTTTGAAATTTTTCTCAGATTTAGCTATCAAAAATACAACTTTTTTTGTTGTTTAATTTTTCCCTATCTCGCTTTGTTTAGTCAGAAATAAAAAATTTTCATGAATAGGTTCGAGATTTGCTTAATTTATTTATTTACTTGTTACAAAGTGTGCCGTGAATATGTCTGTTTTTGAGTTGCCAAGGATTTTTTGTTGGGACCTTACATCCTGCCCAATAGATTAAGCGGTCAATTATTTCTTGAATTTTTAACTACCCAGCATGATAACATGCTAGCCAATGTTCCGTTTCAACAAAGAATAGACTCGTTTTTTCAATTAGATGGATTCCCTCTCCAGTACTCTTTGGTGGTACGAAACTGGCTGAATACAGAGAATCCACAGAGAGATGGGTGGATCGTGGAGGTCCAGTTGGGTGGCCTCCGCGATCGCCTGATCTAACACCTTTGGATTTTTTTTGTGTAGGATTTTATTAAGGATGCAGTTTACTCTACGCCTGTTAACTCGCAAGAGGAACTTGTATGACGAATCCGGAACGCTGCTCTCAGAATAACTCCACATCATTTGAGAGACGTTAGGCGGTCTTTGATACGTCGCTGTAATTTGTGTGTGGAACGAAATGGCGGGCATTTCGAATAGCTCCTTTGAGGTCTATTTGTACAATAAGTTGTTTTTCCATACCGTGTTGTTTATTTTTTTATCTTACAATAAACTGTGTGAAACAAAAAGTTTTATTTCTGTCTAAAGCGAGATAGGAAAAAAGTAAATAACAAAAAAGTTGTATTTTTGATAGCTAAAACTGAGAAAAATTTCAAACTTACCAAAAAGCAGTGGCGTACCATAATTTTTTCTATTTTTATCAAGCTGGTATCTTGTTGTGACGCCACTGGAGAAAATAGGACAAATTAAATTATGTGAGAAAATGAGTATTATTATTACAAACAAAGTTGTCAAGTTTTAACAAAGTCTAAAAAGGGGTTTTCGTTTTACGAATAAAAAATCAATTTTCATTTTAAACTTGAACACTCTGTAAATCGAAAACGACGCATCTATACATATATGTTTACATGAACTTTTTTTAAAGGACTTTTAGTACAATTTGTGAAAGTCCTCCTACAAAAAACGCGGACACCCTGTATAAATAAACAAATCCCATCCGATTGTATTGACAAAAATAGACATCTTATGAAAACTATGCCTAAATATGTTGGAATGTTAAAACAAAAATAGGATAAAACTACAACTACATTTAATAAATCACTTAACAAACTTGATATTGTTTATCTAATGAAAATGTTTATATCAAAAACTCAGACTGCAACAAATCGACTCTCCGATACAAAAAGGAACGAGCATCCAAAGACATGATGATTGAACATTAAGGCAACTAGCAGTGACTATAAAATATAGAAGACTACCAACTTACCACCCCCATACACCCCTTCATGGGGGTTGAAGTTTCAATTTTCATACAAAGTCGAGTGAAAATAAAGAAGACTACCGAAAATGAATCTAACACCCTGTCAACCCTCAGCATCTGTTGCCACCCACATTTGTTTTCACTAGTCTAGAAAACATAGATACACACAACTCACTCAACTTTGTATGAAAATTGACACTTCAACCCCCATAAAAGGGTGCATGGGGGTGATAAAGTGACGCTAGGGGGTAACGAGGGGGTCTTATTCATTTTTGGTAGACTACTTCGTTCTTAGTGGCCCAGAAAACAAAGGAATACTCACCTTACTCGACTTTGTATGAGAATTGACATTTCAATTCCCAGAATGGGGGTGGTAAAGAGAGCTAGGGGGTAACGAGGGAATCTAATTCATTTATGGTAGTCTTCTTCGTTCTTAGTGGCCCAGAAAATACACCCTACTCGACTTTGTATGAGAATTGACATTTCAACTCCCAGAAGGCGGTGGTAACGGGGAAATGGCTAGTTAAATTTTTTTTATGGTCATATTCGGTTTCAGCGACCCCAAAAACGGAGGGGTAGGGGGGTCTACCTTCTGGGTCTTGACATTTTTTTTGGGTGCCTGTGTAATCTACCTTTTGTTCCAGGAAATGGCCCCCCAAGAAAAGACTAATTCTCCTAAAGACAATATTTCTCTTAGCCAACTCCCTAAAAATCCAGTCTAGAAAATTCCCTCCAAGTAAATCAATTAAGGAGTCTCATATTTTCTCCCATCATCATAATTTTAGAAGGAGGAAGCAAAATGCTAAACTAGAGCAACTTCCTTTAATTTTTTGCATTGAAAGATCGCGGCGAACATGTAAATATAAAAAAATGTACCTTTCCTGTTTTGTCCAACAAATTATTAAAGATACTAAATAAATATGATTAATTTATGTATTAATAGTTTCCTAAAAGTATTCTACGGGGTGTGATTATATTTATAACAATGTACGCGATTTTGCACAGGCGTGCAAAATGCAAGAAACGTAAGATAAAACATACGAGGTAAAAATATGCTTCTTCGTTATTTTGAGTGTATTGTCACTTGTCTTATACCCTGAAGAAAACTGGTACAGTGAAGAGATTGAGTATTGTTTTTAACTTGCTTGGATTTTCTAAAATGTTAGACAAAAAATTGCGCATATAAATGCCCTCCTTAACCAAAATTGAGAGTCAAAATACCCACTACTCTCTGAATTAGGCCGTACTTATTGAAATTTATCAAAAATTAAACAATTTTTGCTTAATATACATACAAATCAAACTTGAAAATTTGGAAAATCCAAAAGTTACAAAATAAACGCCGATTAGTAACGTCGTTGGTGTGCTACATAATTATTTGTTTGGAACCCTAGATAATGACTTAGAGGTTATCAATTCATAATTGAATATTCTTTTACAAAATCAACATGCAATAAAAATGCAGTTGGATCTCCAAAGTTTTATATTGATCGATCTAAATAAAAAGTAAGTAATTCTTTTTCTAAAATTTATAAAAATTTCAACATACTCTTGCCTCTTGCAAGTAATTGAGAAACTAAAGAATAGCGTTGAGTGTATCAAAATTTAATTAAACCTGCAAGATATCTTTAATCAAACAGAAGAGATACTCCCAAGTTTGAAAACAGCAACAAATCTTTCTTAACACAACATTATCAATAATTATGTCCCCTTTAATATTATATTTCTAATCTGTATCCTGTTATTAATACTGTCGGTTTTTTCATAAAAAAGTACGAATTTGTTTTATATGGAATTGAATAGCTGTAGAAATTTTACTTAAGGAGGAAGGTGTAATAAAAATCCTTCATATATCTTATACTTTTTTTCTACTTTGTAATTATAATTAATATAATGTAATACCGGCATTCCTGTAACATTGTCATATCACAGAAAAAGCTGATGCATATAATTAAATAATATTTAGGCCGTCTCACTTAATTGATGATTGACTTTGATGTTGTAACTTGCAACCTGATGCCAATAAAATCTTATGTTAAATTTGACTTTTGAGAGCATATAAAATTGTTTACATTTTTTTTTTAATTTTCTGACGAGTAGGCTAACACTCGAGGCTGCAAGATTACGAATTAATTGCCTTTTTTTGTTTTCAGATTGACGGTAAAATGGTCTTTGATGTAATTCAGAGGATGGAAGACACGGAACCTTTCTCAGAAGAACTTTTAGCAGCGATGAAACGATTATGGACTGATTCTGGGGTTCAAGAGTGTTTCGGTCGTTCCAACGAGTACCAGCTCAACGATTCCGCCAAATAGTAAGTATATTATTATTATTATTTATTATTATTATTATTATTATTTTATTATATTACTATTTTTTATCAAAATAAATGTTTTTTTATTGAATATTTTTCTCTTTTTATTATTTTCCTTGTCACACATACACATATTTAAAGAATATTAATGTTTTTTTTTATTGAATATTTTTATTTTTAATTTTTTTCATTGTCACTCATATTTAAAGAATATTAATGTTTTTT